TCATAAAGTTTTCAAACATCTATGTCTTTTCCTTCGAGAAATAAAATCCACGTTTTCTGGAATAATCATCAACAAAGAGAAGAAAGTATTTACTCTTACCAAAAGAATTTGGTTTGATTGGTCCACAGACATCGGTGTGTATAAGCTCAAGTGGTTTTGTTGCTCTTGACGTTGATTCCTTTGGAAAGCTTTTCTGAAATTGTTTCCTAATTAGAAATCCTTCGCATAGTTGGTATGGGTGATTTATGCTAGGCAAGCCTCTCACCATCTCCTTCTTTGCCAAACGTTTTAGACTGTCAAGTTGAGTTGTCCGAATTATACATGTCATAGCCACGAAAGTCGGTATAGCAAGCCTTGACACACTTTGCCACATCATTTTGAATGTTCAAGAAAAAATTCTATTTTTTGACATAAGCACCTTAGCAATCAAGTTATGTCTACGATCTCTTAAGAAAAGAGTATGTTCTTTCAGGTGGATGTCATAGCTTTTTTCTAATAATTGTCCCAAGCTCAAAATAGTATTCTTCATGATAGGCACATAATAGATATTGAATATAAATTAATGACTCTCATTCTTCAAGCGTATGAGAATTTTACTTTTACCTTTGGTTGGTATCTTTGAGTCATCCTCAAGTGAGACATTGTTAGTTGCCACTTCATTGATCTCTACGAACATGCTTCGATCGCCGCACATGTGGTTGCTTGTGTCGTTGTCAAGGTACCACTTGATTCTTTTTTCTTTAACTTGGTTTTAGCACGCAAGCAATAAAATTTCGTCTTCTCCACCTTTTTCTTCTATAAAATTACCTTTCTCCGCAACCTTCTTCGAAAATCTACACTCAGATGCATAGTGACCAATTTTATTATAGTTGAAGTATTTGATTTGTGATTTTTCGCACCTCAACCATGAACTTCCTCTTCCACAATCTCTTGTTAGTTATGTAATGGTGGAAGAAAGACAACTACCGCATGAATCCATTTGAGTCTTAGAAATAATTAAGTTATAGTTGGCCTGTACTAAATGAATAAACTTTACTAACCCAACTTTCATGATTAAGGCAATCACAACTTTCAACTTTGATGTTAGAACCCCATCTATCAACCTTGGACTTTGATGTTCAACCCATCTATCAACACTTTGTTTACTAGAAAGAGATTGTCCAATTATCAACCTTGGAATTTGAAGTAAGATAAAAATTAGACCACAAATTTCACATATCATAATTTAATCCTTATATTTGATTGTTCACATTTTTCATTATTAAACAAGTATTTTCACTATAATCAAGTATTTTCACTATATATAGCGACTCAAGCGAGAGCACTTGATTATAATAAGAAATGAGAACAATTAATTATAAACATTAATTTTTAATCTATTGATATCAATAAACTATATTATTTTGAAAATGAATATGATTGTTGCATTATAATAATTATGATAATTATTTTTACAGATTTTAAATTTTCCATAATATTTTTATTTTTTAATTAGTATACAAATATTTATTGTTATTGTATAAAAAAAATCAATAAATACATTAACTAAAACCATCAATTTAATAATATAATAATTTGTAAAATATTTGACACTAACGTATACATTAGTTGTATTCAAAAAGAAAAATTAATAAATTAATATAACTACATATTAATCAAAATTATTGATATAACTATATAATAAGAATTTTTACTTATATTAAGGATTTTGATTAATATATCATTATATTATTTTTTTATTTTTTAAATGCAACAATAAATAGTGGTAGAATTTATTTTTTTTATTTTAATATAGATTTATATTAACGGTTTTAATTAAGTTTATTTAGGAGAGAATGGCCGTCTAAAATATCCAAATCCAAAAGGAAAATGATCAACTAGACCAAATAAGACCTTGGAATTATGAGTATTAGAGTAATAAAATATTAGTTAATTAATTTTCTTTACTAGCATTTCATTTTTTCCTTAACCAAGATTTATGCAAACGGCAATTGATTCCAGTTATATAATTTTAAAAACCATAATAACATATGACAATGTAACCAACTAACACACAGTTATGTTTTGAATCAAGGTTCCACATTCTGATTATACTATATAAGGGACAAGCTTGAAATAAATATGTGCCATTACCAAAAAACTATCATCTCCTAACTGTTGCATAATGGGTGAAGAAGCAAAAAGGTAGATATTTTTGTCTACATAAAAGAAAAACACACTTTGTAACAACATAGTTGTTGATTACTTTAATGAAATTTGTTGTCAGGTATGCTGTTGTGACAGGAGCAAATAAAGGCATTGGTTATGGAATATGTAAGAAACTGGTTTTAAGTGGTGTTGTGGTTGTTTTAACAGCAAGAAATGAAGAGAGGGGTTTGGAAGCTGTAGAAAGGCTCAAAAAAGAGATTGGTCTCTATGACCTTGTGGTTTTTCATCAGCTTGATGTGGATGATCCTACTAGTGTTGCAACCTTAGCTTTTTTCATTAAAACCATGTTTGGGAAACTTGATATCTTGGTATGAATTCATCATAGTTTCTTACGTTTATTAACAAACAATAACATCAGACGCAACACTGATATGTCGACAAAAAGTGTAAAGTTTTCACTCTTTTCATATTAATGCAGGTGAATAATGCAGCTGTTAGTGGAGGGAAAATATTAAATGGTGATGCTCTTCTTAGAAAGGTTGGCATTAATCACTATAACCGTAAGAGTCAGAGTTTAAACCCTGATATTCGCATCTAACCTAGCAATATCGTTTTTGTCAGTTGTGTTAGAACTTGCCGATGGAGGACTAATAGGTGAATAATACCATATTAATTTATTGCAGAGAAATGGAGCAGAAATTGATTGGAGTGAAGTAGGATATGAAACCTATGAGTTAGCCCAAAATTGTTTGAAAACAAACTTCTATGGAGTAGAAAGAGTAACAGAAGCTCTTATTCCTCTTCTCCACCTATCCACTTGTCCAACCATTGTCAACATTTCTTCTAGAGCAGGACTCTTGAAGGTACAACACAACTCTTTCATAGAGTACAACTTTTTTGCAGAAGCAATTTTGATACTATTCTTAAATAATTTCAGAATATATCAAATGAGTACGCTAGAAAAGAGTTGAGTGACATTGACAAGTTAACAAAGGAAAAAATAAACGAGGTGCTTAAGGAGTTTGAGAAAGATTACAAAGAAGGGCTATTAGAGATCAAAGGATGGCCAAGTTTTGCTTCTGCTTATACAATGTCAAAAGCAGCTTTGAATGCTTACACAAGGATAATGGCCAAGAAATATCCTCATTTTTGCATAAACTCGGTTTGTCCTGGCTTTGTCAAGACTGATATGAATGAGAATACTGGAAACTTAAGCGTTGATGAAGGTGTTGAAACTCCTGTAATGTTGGCACTTTTGCCAAATTGCGGTGTTTCCGGAAGTTTCTTTAATAAGGGTGAAGTGATTAGCTTTTGAACTTTTGATCCAAAGTATATGCTATGTGTTAAAGAGAATGAATAATGATTGTATCGCACATTCATGGGAATATTCCTAATAACAAGTTATGAGACTCAAATATTTATCATTTGCGTCATAGTTTTTGTTTCTACCAATGTAAGAAAATTATCGTGAACCATAGAGACAATGAAGTGAAGTTGCTAACAAGTTTCCTTCCTACTTAAAATGAAAAGTGCTTGTGAAGGTACAAATTATTGGAGTCATGACTCATCTAAATGTCTCTTTGGCCTAATGCACGCAACATTTGGCTTTTCAAAATCCTTCTAAATGGTACAACAACTTTTCATTAACTAGTTTAGAATAATGGCAAGCACTTTCCTAATTTTGTTACATTATATTTACCATTGGCAAAAGAGCGGTCCACTCTATTTAATCTCGTTCCAAAAAAATTTGAAAAAAAAAATACTACGAACATAATTAAAAGTACAAGACATATTTAAAAAGAGATTAATTACTATATACTGTCTATTTATTAATTTATTATTATTATCTATTTGCATTACTTTTGTAGGCTATTAACATTAAAATATTTATTTATTTTAATATTAACCAAACAAATTGAAATTGAAATGTAAACCTAAAATAAATTAGAAGGGAAAGTTGTTCATGGTTTCTTATTTCTGAAGTGGTTTTAAAACCGGATTAATTTTTCTGCAACTAGTTTTACAATTTGGTTTTAAATCCAAACCGTTGTAGTGGTTTTTATGTGGGTACGGATTGGATATATCAATAAATTCAAATTATAAAAGCAATTTTTTGTAGTGACTGTAATTTTTGTTTCTACGAATTGTGTCTGCACAATCAAGTTGGTTTAATTGGAGAAAAGTGGGAGTAATTTTTGGATTTGGATCTTCGCTATTTTTATATATCATGTCATTTCTCATGTTCTAATCTAACTATTCAGAATTTATAATGAATAATTAAATAAAAAAAATTATTTAATAGGAGAGAGAAATTGATAAGTAATTTATCTTTATTATTTTTGTCTTTGTTATTTAATTATTCATTATAAATTCTGAACCGTTAAATTAGAAACAGGAGAGATGTCATGATATATAAAAAAAGAGATTGATACAAATCTGTAATTTTTAGTCAATGAATTTGCACACGTTTTTCTTTTCGCAACATTTACTATACGATAGGAGTCACTTTTGGGTCCACTTGAAGCTTTTCTTCCACTTTTTCACAGATCTAATCCATTTATATAAACCTCTTTGAAGATCCATTTTCATTCAATCTCTATCTGCTTCTCCCATTTCGACACTCTTCACACAGGTAACTCTCACTTTCAGTTCTACCTTCTCATTTCCATCGCCATATATAGAAAAAGTTGCCCAATTTTATATCTGTTTATGTAGTTTGTATGATAGAACAACATGGGTGTTATTGATATGCTATAGGGTGTCATCAGATTTTGGTTCAGTTTTTGCTTGAAGGTTAATGAAAAGGTTCAAAATTTTGCAGGTTTGGGGTGCTTGATTAACAACAGGTTATAATGGCTGCCCTGAAACCAGGTGTGATTGCTTTGTTTGATGTTGATGGGACTCTTACAGCTCCTAGGAAGGTATTTGCTTCTTCTTGAGATTATGACATTCCATGAGTTGAGTTGTTTTGTTGCAATTAATGTAGTAATGCAGCAATTTGATATGGTTCAGACTTCTTATCAGATCTATTGCCTGTTAAACAGTGTTGTCATATAACAGATTTAGCGTTATGCGTAGCACAGCAGAATTTGAACGAATCGCTGTCATTCCGTGATACACTATCTACTATAAACCAATGTTATCGAATTGCGGCGCCATGGCCGCTATGGCCAATATACATGGTGGTTTTTGGGCCTGCTGCAATGGTAAATATCGGCTGATGTTGCGGGTTTTTCCGCTATAACGGCGCCACAAATAGGCCGATATAGCGGGATTTTGGCTCTTCGTCATGGACCACCATCCGCTATTGACAACACTGGTATCAACTATTAAGTACGCTAGAGTACTATAGCATAGCGGAATTTGAACGATACATTATTTTCTGAGATCTATGATCAATAATTGATGTTAAGTTACCTAATTTTACTCATCAGTTCACTCATCATAGAATGCTGTGACTTCCCCTTGCTGGACAAAACTAGAAAATGTTGATTTATTCTTTCTGATTGTTTGGCTTTGGATAACATCTATTTACTGTTTTCTACTCAATTGCTAGGTGGCTCCTCCAGAGATGTTGAAGTTCATACAAGAACTACGAAAGGTATGTGAGTTGTAATGTTTTCTTTCATTACCTGCATTTTGTTTGTTGATGTAATTTTTTTCCTATCTCCATCCACTCAATTATGCATAAACTTGTTCTTAAATTTTTCTGTTTTTGTTGTTAATGCTGTTGAGTCTTGCTTTGTTTGGTCACACAGATTGTAACAGTTGGAGTGGTTGGAGGTTCTGATCTAGTAAAGATATCTGAGCAACTTGGCCAGACAGGTTAGCTATAAGTATTACCATAGTTTCTGATACTGCAGTGTTTATAACAGGTAGAAATTAGGAAGCCTTTTTTTGAAAATTGATCTTGGTTCTTTTCATTAATAAATGATTTCATCTCTTTTTTCTTGCTCTTGTTTGTTGTATTTTGGTCTCTAAAATTGGATGAAATTATGTGCGCTAATCTAAGCTGATGATCATTGTTACATTTCTCTTCTACACTCCCTACCGTCTTCTTCCTTTCTCATTTATGAGAAAAATATACTATTCTTAGATGAGCTTTTATCTTGAGTTTTTAATGGTGTGTTCCTATTTGCTTGTTGCAGTTAACGATGACTATGATTATGTGTTTTCTGAGAATGGTCTTGTGGCTCATAAACAAGGAAAACTCATTGGAACTCAGGTACACCATACTAACTCAATCCATGATTGAATAAAATCGCCATCATGATCAGGGATTTCTTCCAATAGATTTGATCTACCCCCTATGTTGGTAAATTTGTGTAATACACCATGATGAGTTGTGAATTTCACTCTTTTTCAGAGCTTGAAGACATTCATTGGAGATGAAAATCTCAAGGTAAAGCCTATATATTTATATTCCTATTCAAGGCGGTAGACATCTCACACCTATTTGAGACTGTCATGCTAGGCATGCCATAAATTTAAAAGAAGCATAAAATAAAGTTCATTATAAAACTTAGAAGATATGTGAGTGAAGGAGAATATACTTGTGTTGTGTTCTATAGTAAAATTCAATAAGTTGTTAATATTGTTTATTAAATAATAGCAGAAGTTATTTTGCAGGAATTTATTAATTTTACGCTTCATTACATTGCTGACTTGGACATCCCTATTAAGAGGTTAGCGACATTCAGCGGTTAATTACATTGTTATCACAAAGTGTTTAATCTTAATAGCTATATGAATATTTTTAGGGGAACATTTATAGAGTTCCGTAGTGGGATGCTGAACGTGTCACCGATTGGGCGAAACTGCAGCCAAGAAGAAAGAGATGAGTTTGAGAAATATGACAAGGTAATAATACTTCAGTTTTTCTCATATAAGAACTCTCGCATGCTAAGGGTATAATTTTATCCTGAAAACTTGTATTGTGAGTTTTCAGGTTCAGAACATACGCTCAAAAATGGTTTCTATACTTCGGGAGAAGTTTGCTCATCTTAACTTGACATTTTCCATTGGAGGACAGATAAGCTTTGATGTAAGTGATGATCTTCATAGTGATGTGGTGATTTTATTAATCAGTCAAATGATAGGCCAACAGGTCTCAATATAATTATATGTTGTATATACTTTACAGGTTTTCCCTCAAGGCTGGGATAAAACATACTGCTTGAGATACCTTGATAATTTCAATGAAATCCACTTTTTTGGTGACAAAACTTACAAGGTTAGTCCACAAGTCTTTATTGTGCAGTTTTTGTTTGGTGTATATACAAAATCAATACTTTTGTTACATTTTCTACCTCCCTGCATTTGTATGCTAGCAACTTTTGGTATTTTAGTCTTATTTTTTATGCTTTTTTCTTTCATTCACTTGTTTGACATAAAATTACAGCCATTTTCATGTAAACACTGCAACAAATGCAACAAATGAATTGGAGCTGAAATTGTTGTAACATGAGTGTATTTGAAATTTTAATTTAGTTATCTCAAATCAATCAATGGATGGTCCTTCACTTTGCAAGACATTAACCAATTTTGTTTCACTGCTTATTTTATTTTTATTTTTTGGGAATAAAAGAACTTCATTAACCAAAAAACAGTTAATTACAAATGGCGATCCAAAGGATCCCGCCAGAACAATGCTAAGATGCACTCCTTTAGTTTTAAACTCATCTCTGCTTGGAGGTTTTGCCAGATTTGCTTCTGCATAACCACTTCTCTTTGCTTTAATATTGCTTTCATGATCCATGACCCATTTGGTTTGACCGGTGCTGTCATGATGTTCTCCTGCTTGGTGTAGTACACAATACACATGAATCCATTTGATCCACAAGCTGTCCGCTTTCCCGCTTAGGTTCCACAGAAGCTTTATCAAATTCGCACGATTCCAATCACTTAAATGGATCAGATTCACCCCTCCATTGTTCTTTGGAGCGCAAACCTTATCCCAAGCTATTGGAGCTTTTCTAGAATTCTCCTCCCCACCTGCCCACATAAATGTTCTGCAGATGCTCTTGATTTTTTGTATCTCTTTTTTTGGTAACTGTAGGCACTGCATCCAATAGTTTGTAGTTGCAAATAGAACACTCTTAATAAGCTGAATGCGCCCTGCAAAACTCAAAAGTCTTGCACTCCAATGTCTAACTCTTTCCACAATCTTGTCAATGAGGGGCATGCGCTGTTGTATTGTAATTTTCTTACTTGTTAGAGGGATCCCCAAGTATCGAAATGGTAACCGGCCTCCGGTGAACGATGTAAGAGCAGCAACTTAACCCCTTCGCCAACACTCCCATAGTAAGCCTTACATTTACTAGGATTGGCTTTAAGACCTGTAGAATCAGAAAACTCAGAATACATTCATTAACAGCTCCACAGATTTTCTATCCTCCCGAGCAAACGGAAGGAACTTAAAGTCAGGAATTTTGGTGAGTTTCTGCTAAGTTCTGTGTAGGTACTCCATAACTATCACAAATAATAGAGGAGATATTGGGTCTCCTTGTCTCAAGCCTCTCTTTGCTTTCATGAACTTTGTATACACACAATTGATGCTAAACTTGTAAGACTCAGTGGTGACTAATAACATTATCCACCTAATAAACTTGCCAGGGAAACTAAGCTCTTTCAGGATGGACTCCAAGGCATTCCATTCAACTGTGTCACTATCATAAGCCTTTTGGACGTCCAATTGCAACATACGTCTTGGGGGCCCTCCCACTTTCTAGAATAACCTCGAATCAGCTCATAGGTCAAAAGGATGTGGTCCTCGATATGTTGTCTAGGAACGAATGCAGCTTGGCTATGATGGATGCTGCTACTCATCATCTTACTCAACCTTGTGGTCATAATCTTTGAGATTACTTTGTAAAGTGTGGTACAGAAGGAAATAGGTCGATACTCCTTGATAGTTTTTGCTGCCGGGGACTTGGTATCAGGGTTACTAGGGTGCTATTAATGGCCTTGTACATTTTCTCTTCTTCAAAGAGTTCTTTAATGGCTGCTATAAGGTCCTTATTAATCACTCTCCAAGCCACCTTGAAGAACTTTGCCACATATCCATCCTAACCTGGTGCTTTCGAGTCACCTATACCCTTTAAAGCATCTTTGATCTCTAACTCAGTTACAGGGTATATCAAGAAGTTGCTCTGCTCCTGCGTAATTTGGCTACCCTGCCTCATAGCGACTATATCAATGCCTACCATGTTAGAATTTGTACCCATCAGGCTGCTATAAAAATTCATAACTTCATTTTCAATCTCTTCATGAGTAATCAGAACAGTGTCATCCTCTTTATGTAAATTATGGATACCTGCTAGACTGGTCTTTCTCTTCAAAGAAGCATGGAAGAAGCGTTGTTACCATCCCCTTTCCTGAGCCAATCTACCTTAGCCTTTCGCATTAGGGTTTGATCTTCAATATTATTCCATTTGATGATTTCTTCAGTGCAAACTTTCACCCTATCAATATAATGGATAATCATTCTATAAGTCAAAAGTTCTGTTTGGGCCTCCATCAAAGCTACCCTTGCATTCTCCACTTCCCGTTGATGTCAGATAGAGGTTTGCTTTTGGCCCTAATGACATGTTGTAATCTATGCAGTTTTTTCCACATGATGTACATAGGCCTCCCTGTCAAAGGTATATTCCAGTTTCTTGCAACATCTTCCAAGAATCCTTCCATCTCAGTGACAATGTTCATGAATTTGAAATTTGATTTCTTTACTTGCGGTTTGTCAGTGCCATCTAAACACAGCAAAGCATGATCTGATATTCTGATATGCTCGGGTCCATAATCTGCAATATAACCTCCTTTTGCTGTTGAAACCACTTTATGTTACCAAGTACCCTATCAATTCTAGAGTAAATATCGAGTATGCTTATTTGACCAAGTGAAGTGGTCCCCTTTGCTTTCCATCTCAAATAAGCCAGTGTTTTCCATCATGTTGACCATATCCACATACTCAGATTCTTGGACAGGACTCCCTCCAATTCTATCTTGAGTTTCCCTAACATTGTTTAAGTCACCAATAACACATCAAGGCCCTTGTATCTGATTGTGAATTCACTGCTTGATTTTTATTGCTTGCATTAGCATTTGTATAGGAATATAGGACAAAATACATTAATTAATTACCTACCTTTTCATTGTAACTGAACAGGGTGGAAATGATCATGAAATCTATGAATCTGAACGCACTATCGGGCACACAGGTATGCTGCTTTAAATTGTATCATCATATGTGGAAATGAGTGAATTTAAATTTCATGGGGAAATTTTTATTTGTTTGTAATAATAAACTAAAAACCAAATCAATGCAAGTTGAAATCTGCTGTCCGTGTGAACCTTATGCGTTGATATCTTTTTTCAGTTACCAGCCCTGAAGATACGATAAAGCAGTGTAAATCTCTGTTCCTGGAAAATTAAGATTTTGCTGCAGCACATCATTACCTGTACTGAAAACAACATGGAGCAATGGTTGACAGAAGAGAGGATCACATGGTTCAAATATATAATTTATTCTGATTGTAATTTATCTTCCCGCTTTGAATTTTGGGTAAAATAAGCTTATCTTTCAATAAATTTTGATCTCAATAATTTGAGAATACTCAAGTCGTGGTCTACTCTAAACAAATATTGTGCTTCCTCTGCAAGTGTATTTTGCATAAGCAATGCAATGGTCATTGAACATGCTCCTTTAGGAACTGTGGTAACAAACATCTATTGCTTTAAACAGTTTTATAAGTAGATCAATTTTGATCCTGTTAATTGTCAAACACACAAACATTTGTTGGTTAAACTTCATATTGAAATTCAATCATTGAATATCAAATTTATTTCTCAAACAAAAGTAATACATATCAAGATAGAGCTCATTAGCAGACTATAACATGAGTTCAAGCTTTCTAATAACAACATTCTTATTTTTAGTTTCAAACTTTCTTTTTAAATCTTTTTAACCAGTCCTTTTAATTTTAATTGTATATTGATTGATGATCTATTCATTTCAGTTGCTTAAATTTGTAACATCCCACATGGACACAAAGTATTGTCCATGTGATCCTCATTTTTAGTTTCCTCATTGTTAGTAGCATGCCTCGCACTAAACCTTTGGTAGTTACTCCGTCACAGTCTTGACAGCTAAAAATGTGTATCAAATAAATCTGAGTAGATACTAAACAAATGGTTGAGCACACACTTTTGTTTTTCTTTATAACACACATGCCCTCAAAAACATTATAAACCAAAGTAACTAGACCATTAAAATTATTTGAGCAATATATTTTTTCATTAAATCAAACTTGTTTTCCACATAACCTTCTACTTTAGTAGTCACATGAGTTGTGTACTCCTATGTACACACATGAAAGGAGGAAGTTTTACATCATCATATGGCATCGTGCCATGAAATATTGTCCTTGTTCCCCCACTTTTATCAAAATAGAATAAAATAAAAAAGTAGAGCAAGATTTAAGACTCTCCTAAACAAAAATTGATGGCTCATGATGTTATACATCATTTCATTAGATTATTCAAAACTGTGAATTCTCTTTGCAGAGCTGAGTGTATTTTGTAGAAGCATCGCAATGGTCATTGGACCAACTCCTCCAGGAACAGGTGTAATAGCAGAGGCAACTTGTATGGCTTCTTCATAACAAACATCTCCAACCAATTTATAACCTCGAGAACTACTTGGATCCTGTCACAAAAGTGCAATGGTTAAACATCTTTCATATCAAAATTTAAGCACAAAATATGAAATTTAGCTACCCCAAAACTGAGATAGAGTTTAAAAGAATACTAAAAACAAGACCTTGAAATAAATCTACTTACATCTACAGGATTGATTCCAACATCGATGATGACCGCACCAGGTTTTATCCAGCTTCCCCTAACCATGTTTGGTTGTCCAACAGCAGAGATTATGATATCTGCTTGTCTTGTGATCTCTTCAGGGTTACTAGTTCTGGAATGGACAACACTGACAGTAGCATCTTCCCTCTAATAGCATAAGAGACACATAAAGGAGTGAATTGAAATGTATTCATTTGAAACAAATAAAACTGGTATTGAACTGTTAACTAATCTTTTTAAAGTTTCGAGTAATGAGATATTTACTTGCAGCAAGAGAGCAGCTGGCATTCCGACAATATTACTCCGACCGATCACAACAGCCCTCTTTCCTTTAATAGAAATGCCATATCTGTGGAGTAGTTCAATGCATCCCTTTGGTGTACAAGGAACAAACAGGGGATCTCTACCTCGCATGGCAAGTCGGCCAATATTCAATGGATGAAAACCATCTACATCCTTCTCGATTCTAACAGCATTCAACACATTTTGTTCATTCATATGCTGTCACAAGACCAATGAAAATCAATCAAACTTCCACAAGTAAATCTTTAGGCTATGAACTACAGTTATAGTGGAAGGCATATTTCGTCTTACAAGTCAGCCTTGTCGGGTTGAGTTAGACCCGACACAAACTCTAATTAATGTTATCTACGATACATTTGAATGCTTGACATAAATATACAAATAGGGCAATCATATAAGTTAGAGATCTAGAAGCATACAGATGGTAAAGGTAGCTGAACAAGAATGCCATGAACCGCAGGATCATCATTGTAGCCTGAAATATAGTTCAAAACTTCCTCTTCTGTTGAATCCTCAGGCAAATTTACTTCTAAGGAATTTATTCCAACAGATTCACAAGCCTTCTTCTTGTTGCGCACATAAGTTGCAGAATCCTTTCTATCTCCAACCAGAATAACAGCTAACCCTGGAATCACACCCACGGCTTCTTTCATCTTGGAGACTTCAACTGCTATCTCCTCTCTGATCTGCTTTGCCACCGCTTTTCCATCAATCACCTTAGCAGATGCCTCGGTAGCACTAGCAACTGCACAGAGTCATTTGGAAACAGATAAACAAACCTATCTAAATAAAAATTGCAAACCAATAAAAAAAACTGAAAACCACACAAAACTGAATGTTACTGGATGCTTTTGGATCTCCTACTGTGAAAACTTCTTGGATTGGATCGGATTTCATACAATGCGAAACTAACAACAGATGACAGCAAGTTAACAATAGTCTAATGGCTTACAGAACAAAATCCCTTTCATCCAAGACTAAGTTTAATATCTTGATTCTAACCTATTAAAAAGTCCTGAAAATTTGGACAAATCATAATCTTTAACCTAATAGACAGTTAACTTGGACAAAGAACATCTTAAACCAACATCAATCACGGCCAAACTGACATAGATGCAGCATCTCAAAAACAAACCAGAGCACACATGAAATATAACTACAGACAATATTTACAAGAAAACCCTGAAGTCATCCAAACTAAAGGATTCCCTTTCTAATTTCAAATTTTGAAACTAAATAGACCAAGCCCTTTCTTTGGCATTTAATCAAGCACTTCCTACGCACTACTAACACAAGGTTGGAAAAAGAGAGGATCCCAAATGTGATGCATGTGAGAAGATGCAAGAGAATGCATGCATAAGCTAATGGCTATAAAAGCAATAAAAATAGCGGGGGTGAGAGGTTTATACCGATGGAGAGAACACGGGATGAAGGGGGAGAGGAGCAAATGGTGAAGAACCGGAGAGAGGTGGGACCCACACGGATAGGGTGGCGGCTGCGGAGGAGGAGAGCGGTGGTGGAAGAAGGAGGATTGAAAATTGAAGAAGCCATTAATGGATGATTCCTCTTTCTCCTGAAACAGTGATTGAGTAGTGATAATAATGTATAGGGTTTGATTAATTTTGCAATGTTTTCTAGAATTTTAGTTGTTCTCAAAAGACATGTGTATTCTTTTGGTTTTCGGAAGATTAACGCTGTGTTTTTTTTTTTTTTTTTATGAAATAGGAATGATAGGGTTTAAGAAGAAAAGAACATGAAGTTTACAGGTTTGGAACGCACACGTGTGAGTATGTTTTCATCTAAGAGCCACAATTGATTTTAATATATTTGATTTTCTTAATAATTTTATACAACATTTTTTTTAGTAGAAAATTTTATACAACATTTAAATATAGAATAATTTATTACAATTCTTATCTACATAAATATGTTTAGACAAATTATTTTACCATGCCATTATTTTTTAATAGACTCATAATTTTAAAACTCACATTGTTTAGTGATTTTTTCTTAAATAATCATATTTCCCAATTTAAATTCCAAAATAATCAAAATTTTCAAATTATTCATGTTTAAAAAATATCGCAATAAAGAGCATGTGTTGACACATACTCTCAAAATTGTACTTATGCACTAGATCAATTGGCATATCATATAACAAATAAAATAAAAGTGAATATACATTGGCGTTAGACAAATTGACGCACGCATAGAGCAAATACACATAGGCGTAAGTGGAACTGGCGCATGCATATGGCGCTCACACATAGGCATCAATTAATTTGCCGCAAACTCTTTGCTGCAATTTTTTTAATTTGAAATTTGAGTAGTTTGGTATAATTGGAAAAGATTGTTAGCTTGAAAATTAAGTTGGAAAAAATTGTTAGTTTGAAAGTTAAGTTGTAAAAGATAATTATTTTATAAAAAAAAATTGTTTTGTTCTGATTTGTCTAACCAATTAATCGAATTTTAGATTTAGTGTCACATTTATACAACTAAAATGGTTTTAAAAATGGTTAAATTTGTTAAAAGGGGTTGACTTGCATGCTCTAATTTTTTTTTTGAAAGATGTGTAGGATTTAATTTAGAGGATTTCTTAATACACCCTTTATATTTCTTAGTCACCACGCAAAAATACATAAATGCCTCTAGATTTTAGAGATGCATCTTCGGACGCACCAAATTTTGATTAAACGTTAAAATATCGGAAATGCATATTTGTAACAATTTAAAACACATACAATGCATCACACTCAGAAGTCATTATACAAATTTATTGTACCGGAGATGCATCTCCATAAATTTTACGGAGATACATCTCTGTAACGTATCAGAACTATGTATTATTTATGTGTATTCAGATGAAGATTTAAACCATACAAGCGATATGCAACAAATGACGTGCCTAAACCCATATGATCCAAAAATTTCATATATAAATAAAAGATCAATAAATGTTTAAAAAAAAGTCGAGAACAACGGTAAAGTACGAAAATGTGATGTCAAAATAAAATGCAATCCATAGTACTACTACTATATACAAATACACTATTGTGTATGTCAAACTACATCTCCCCTGCCTCCTCTACCTCTTCTGACTTCTTGGCCATCAATCCCCCTGCCCTCAGACGATGTCTCTAATACATCAATGTTCCCTGTGTCTTCATCATGATGGCATTTAGAACCTGCCTCACATCAAACCCATCAGAGAAGATACCAGTGTCAATGTCTGCCTGCACAATCTCCAATATATGATGATATCTAGGCAAGACATCCTCAACATGATTTAGTTGTGCCTGCTCCTCCTCTAGTATCTCATGATGAGCTAGCCTCGGCGGATCTCTTGGAGTAGCATGCACCATGTACGAATGTGACACCCTGAATAACCATCTGATATACCCGTCGACGTAACTCCATTCGTTCACATCTATGGTACTTTGTGCCTCCTCTGGTACCATATGACTCTCATAATCATCAAATAAGTCATTTATCTATCTACGTGTCAAAGTAGAAGGAGCATATATAATAAGGCATCTGAGAATGGTTTTAGTGAAGCTGAACTGCTGCATGATGCACATGGGAAGATGAGGAGCAGTGAGACGTGATATGCAAGCCAATCATCCAAAGTATAACATTATCTCATCAAATGGTTGTGTCTCATAGTGATTGATATAGTTGTTGAAGTGCATGTCCTCGGCAACGAAACGATCAAGATACACTCTGAAAGGCTCAATCGTCTGGTTCCCTATGGGTGGGGAAAAAGCAGTAGCACGAGGCATATCTTTAAAGTAAGTCGGTACACTCGTCCAGCCGGAGATATGCAGGAAGTGCTGGAGAATCCAAGCCTGAAACGAAAAGTTTAGAACACAAGAATCGTCAATAATGGATTTGCAAAGATGAAATGAAAATGACAAAGAAACATTAAAAGACCAATAAATATTACTGTTAATAGTGTGATGTTGCATGTGACCTGCGTCGTCTTCTACATATAGAAATGACGAGGTCTCTGAGTGCCATCTCTCCATGAATACGTTAAGCATCATGTGGTTGATTATAGTATAACTGGTCATTCACAAGTCCTTCAGGCCAGATAAGAACAAAACTATTTGAAACCAATCCTCATTCGGCTGAGGCAAGCCAATAATCTTTCGCTCGTGGTTAATAAACTTCAGCGGATCACTGTCCTGAAAAAAATAAAAAACAATGTCAGAAATTTATCAATTAAAATAAACGTAAATAAAAAAGAATTAATTCAACTGATTCTACATCTATGTCTCAGATATGTCTGGTAGTATGGTCTGGGTACAAAGGCAGCAACGACAACTTGATAGGGCCTCCTTCAAATGCCTCCAGTTTAGCAGCATCAACATCCTCACCCTCTAGAGGTGGCACTGGCTCATTAGTATGAGGTGACACTGGCTCAGAAGCATCTACAATATCAGCAGTAAGAGATGACAGTGGTGCATCCAGTACTACTAGTGACTCAGGTACCTCAGGCGCTAGAATAGGGGAAACCTGGCGCCTGCGAAAGGATGGGGGAGTGATGCGACGGTAGGTGAATCACGTCTCCTACAGGAAGAATAAAATGGAAAAGCATGAGGAGAAGTACGAGCCCCAAAAGTAGATGGTTTTGCATTGCCAAAGGGACAAGAAGCCTCTGAAACCTGCTGACTCTTTTCTTGTCACACTGATGCGTGATATGCAACCCTCTTGTGCCTCATTTTATCGTGTCTATTAGCCATTATGCATGTGATTTAAAGTAAAGCAAACAATTAGTGCAGGAAAATAACACCACAAGCAAGAAAAGAAAAAAAATGACTGAGTAAATTCCAGAGATGCATCTCCAGTTGCTTGGAAACTAAAATGTTAAAAAATTACAAAAATACTTCTCCAGAATTTTCTACAATTGAAATTGCGTCAATATCGCCAATGCACCCATGGAATTCCAAAAAATGCTTTGATCATTCTTTTTAACAAATGTGTAATACACTATGTCTAAACTATCATACATGCAATTTCTACTTATTTCTAACCTTAATCATCAATTTCTACTCATTTACACAAAAACTCAAAAACTTATCAAAACATAAAAAAAAAAAAACTTATAAAATTCAACTTTCCTTCAGGGTTGGATGATGTTTATGATGTTGATTGAAGTTTCCTTAAGCTTTGCTGTTTGATTTTTGACTTGGTGATGAGAAAATATTTGAGAGAGTTTGAAGTGGTTTTGAGAAAAATGAAAAATGAGGAAGGAGAAGGGTCTGATGTGATTTAATCTCCAAAATATTTCGGAGTTGCGTCTCCGAAATATTTTAACGTTAATTGAGCATTGGGTGCGTCTGAAGATACATCTCTAGAATTTGTCGACATTTAAGTATTTTCGTGTGGTGGCTAAGAAACATAAATGGTGCAATAAGAAATTCCCTTAATTTAGCTACAAAACAAACAATCTTTTTATTCATAGTTCATCATGGAAAATGTGTATGAAGACTATATTTTATCAAAGTTTAATCAAGGTAAAATGTTAAGAGTTTTGTCCTAACACCCATACATGAGGGGTGCTTTTACAATAACATTCCTTCTGAATTTTTTTACATTTTTAAAAATTAATATGTTTTTCAGAATTTTGGAAAAATTGTGAGTTTTTATTAGAATTTTGGAGATATTTACGAGTTTTTACCGGATTTTTGAGGGTTCTATGCGTTTTTTACCGGATTTTTGGGGGATCTCGTGAATTTTTACTGGATTTTTCAAAACTTATCGGATTTGAACTATCAAAATTTTCAAACACACTACCGGATTTTTCAAAACTCCATGAATTTTTACCACACTTTTCAAATACACTATCGATTTTTTTTTAAAATCTACGAGTTTTTACAAGATTTTAAAAAAAATATGAGTTTTTACCAGAATTTTCAAGAAATTTATGAGTTTTTACTAGATTTTTCAAGAAACTTATGAGATTTTACAAGATTTTCAAGAAACCTATGAGATTTTACTAGATTTTTCAAACATACTACCAGATTTTTTGAAAAATCAGATAGTGATTAATTTTCAGTTTTTTGCCTATCAGAAATGAACTATCGGATTTTTAAAAAAATCTTAAACTTACAAAACATACCGAATTTATCAAAAAATCTAAAAGGGTTAAATTCTTTTTTTTTTAAATCGCTAAAAATGCTTATCAAACTTTTCAATGGCACTACCAGACTTTTTAATTTATACTGGAGTTTTCAATTGCATTACCAAATTTTTCATTCGCTCTTTTTAAATTAAATTTTAACAGAACATTTTCGCCATTATGAAAACAAGTGGGGGGTGTTAGGTCAATGTGGGGGTGTTATAACAAAATCTTAAATGTTTGGCATGTGTTCTAACCCACTTTGTAATAGTTTATAGTCAACCTTCTTTGCATATCACTATTAAATATGCAGGCATAGACAAAAAGTTTTATAAAAGATATACATTTTTTAAAAAAAAAGATATAAATGAGAGTTAGACTTGTAAGACATTGAAAAAGTCATATGGTTTAGTGCATGTATCGATAAATT